CAGCAAGAAATCAATCTCCATCACCTTTTGGAGGTGTTCCTCCTGGTATGAATCTCAATCAATCATCAACAATTTCAGCAAGAAATCAATCTCCATCACCTTTTGGAGGTGCTCCTCCTGGTATAAATCTCAATCAAGCACAACCATTAACAAATAATATGCAATCTCCTATGAATAGATTACAATCTGTATTGAAAACAAATCCACAGTCATCTCAAGATGGTTTTCCATTAGATATGAATTCAAAATCATTACCTTCAACACAAGTTCCACGAATGAACAATACAAATAATCCAATGAATATTCAACAAGAATCTTTGATAAAACATATACCATCATTTCACAATCAATCATATGATGATGATAATGTATCACGTCTTGAACTTGATTATCCAATTGAAAATGTTCTCATCGATGCTAATATTCCTTCAGCAATGGCTATTAAACTTAATGAAATTGTTGAACAAGATCGTCTTGGTAAAGCTTATCATATTAATCGTTATACATTTGAACCACCATTACAACGAATATCTCTTGGTAATAATCAACAGATTGATCGTCGTTTAATTGATGATAATTATCATGGTGGTACAAGATATATACGTGAAATTCAAAATAATGATCAAAATTTATGCTTGAATGATATAATTCATCCTCGAAGATCATATAGACAATATCGACGACGATCTCATTCTTATTCTGAAACACCACTCGATCAATACATTGATCAATTGACTCAAACACCAGGTAGCATTGTTATTCAAGCAGGAAATTTCCAGAATTTAGAAGATATACTCGGTCAATATTTATGCAATAACCAAATAATATCGACACAATCATCAATAAGTCCTGTACTTTCTCCTCCTCCTCGTTCTTTTCCATTAAACACGAATACTATTACGGAACCAATTTTTCATTATACAGCATGTGCTCTACCAAATGATCCAATGCGATATTGTTAGAACGAATTATAGAATAAAAAAAAGATTTATTTATTTTAATAAAAATAAAAAATATTCATAACTGTGTTGTTAATATCATATGAAAAGATTTATCAACAAATGAAATAATTTGTTCTCTTAACTATGCAAATCATTTTCATTTGAGGAAATTAATAATTAGAACTACAAATTATAAATTATAAAAAAAAACTAGATCGATGAGTTTCATCATAAAATTGTTTCAACGAACTAAATTTTATAAAAAAAAAAATATCACAATCGAATGATTATCATCTTATATATTGCATGTCATAAATATCTGTAAACATATTGTTTTTATTATACTAAAACAAAAGAAATGATTGCATATGATTGGTATTCAATATTATACATAGATATATTTATATTATATTAATCAAAACAAAAAATGATCAGAAAATATGCTAATTCTTGGTTTGAATAAATTAAATTCTGAGAATCAGTATATATTCATCATAGAAATTTCGTAAAAAAATAGCTTAAGGATATTTCCTAGATCCGTTCCAGGATTTCTGGAAAATAGTTCATTAGAAAAAAAGAAAACTTTCACTGCAGATGGATCTCGATGATCAGAGCAAAAGTTTTCATAGACTCAGAATCCCGACATACTCCTTCTGTATGAAATATTATTTTACAAATACTTGATATTATCTAGAATTTCTAGTTTATTTAATTTTCTTTTATCTTCTTCTATTCAAATAAAAGATAGCAGAATCCTGAGAACATTCTGAACAATCTATTTTTTTTTTCAGCTAGAAATTGTTTTTATAAATCCTAGCAGAAATGAGCGTAACATGATATATTGAAACAAAAATTAAAAGTAGATATTCTAAACACTTTCTAGTATTAGTAGAAAAAAGTTTCAGCTCGATCAGAGGTGCTTGAGAAACGACGGCAACTAAATCATCATTTCTTTAAATATAACTATCCGTAATGTAGAAATTAGTCAAGAGGAAAATAGGAATTTTTTATGAGACGTCAAGACCTACGCAAACCATACTACTTCATGCCTTTACTATAGTGATTGTAGATAGAGCCATTCTATCGTATACTGATTCAAGAAAAAAATCGATCAATCTCATTTTGAAAGTCAAATAACCGGAGACGAGCGCCATCTCCATATTGATTTTCATAATTCTGATTTGTTTATTTGATAAAACAAATTAAATAAGATTTTTTTTTTGATTGTCCATTTATCCATCAATCTTTAGCATTTCATTCTAAAAAAAAAATAGATCGATCATTTAAATAAATTTAAATGACAACAAATCGCTCAGTACCAATTGTTGTCATATCATCTGAAAATATTCCAAATAAAATTCGTAATATTGATGATATTGAATATGAATTATCACAAAATTCTCTTCCATCAAGTAAGTGTATTATAAAAACTTTCATAGAAATTTAAATTTTTAAATTTTTTTCTTTTTATTTAGAATCAACACTATCACGAAAAAGTAAAGGTCGATCTCTAATTAAATGTAAATTTATTTGCTTGTTTTTTTTTTAAATTAAATAATAACCTTTTTGTTTTTTTCCATTGTATTTTATTAGATAAAAGTGCTCCACCTGTTCCAATAATTACTGATGAAAATAATGATATTAAAGAGAATGAAATTATACGATTACATGTTATCTCACATATTTTACCTCGATTTCCTGTCCGTCATGGTTTGAATAGTTATTTTATATTATTAAAAAGAAAAATCTATATTCGAATTTTTTTCTTTAAGGTATTCTTAAACAAAAACGTAAGCATACATCAAAGAAAAAGATTTTGGCTGAAAAAAGTAATGAAATTTGTGTTTTATTTTATCTTTTATTATACTTTTCTTTTCTCCTTCATTGAAGCTTCAGATAATATAATGCAACAGGAAAATATAGATAAAATTCTTCTTGGACCAAATTTATCAAACGATGATGTAAAAAAAAAATTTCATTATTCATTTTTTGTTTTTCATATTTATAGAAATTATGTTTTTTTTGTACGTAAATTAGACTGAAACAATAAAAAAGAAACAATTTAAAAGTAATTTAATACAATTAACACCTGATGATCTTCAACAAACAGGAATAAAAATTCAAGAAAAATATTTTCATGGAAAAACTAGCGAATATTTAATGATTAATGTTCTTCGTGGAAATGAATTCGATGAATGGTTTAGATATTTAAGGTTTGTTTTAGATTGAATTTCAAATTCATCATTATGAATAAATTCGACTAATGAGAGAATCTCTTCTAATGTCTTCTTTCGATTTCAATTTCTATTCAGATTAGACTAAATTAGTTTTCATAAAAAAATTCAGAAGTTTTGAATAAAGTCTCTTCGAGATATGAGACTTTCAAGATATAGACCCTTCTCTATGGAGTGCATACAATATATATTTTTTAAAAAGCTTCATTGAACATAACCTTACACAGATGTACGATGGTTCTTGAAGTTTAATTAGATTACAAATATTTGAAAGGATCGTTAGGATCGACATCCACATTGTCTAAAACTTCGTAGTTAAACCGTTTTAACTATAGACGACTTATTTTTAATATTTTAAAATTTATACAAATACTTTCCAAACTAAAAGTCAATTCAATCTGTAATATTCTTGAGATGACTATAATAATTCTTTTTTTTTCTCTCAGAGCTGGTTTCAATATTCTTCTACATGGTGTTGGTTCAA